GTGCGTGCTGTAGTTCTGCTTCCGTAAGTGTCCTGGGAGACCTTCCTCTGACCAAGTGGCTGCAGTGGCTTGGAGATGGTTCCACCTCTCCTTCCCCCTGAAGCTGCTTGCTCATTACATTTTTTTCTTTTTTTTCTTTCCTACCATACTGCTTGTACTTACTTTCCTATCCCAAACAGACATCACCAGTCAGGAATCAGTCTTGGACCATTGCTCTGTAGATGTTTGCTCCAAGAACCAGCCAGGAATTAGCTGTTGAGCGCCATGGGGCATGGGAAGGGGGATCCGGGTCCTGCAGTGTTATCCTGTGCTCTTCAAGAGACGCAGCAGGAAGAGTGTTTTAAGAAAAGTTCCTTTATTTCTCCTTCTGCAGTATTATATGGATAGGGGCATACAAAAAGGAAGTTTGTTTTAAGGTCTGATTCCTGTGTTCTCCCTTACGATAATTTTTAAACAACTTTTCAATGCTTTATCCTGATGCATTCATTGCTCTGAATTGAATTATATGAACCTTGATTCTGTAATAGATGGCAGCCTTTAATTATTTAAAAGAAATTGATGTAAAGGGACATTGCTTTGATGGGCTCTCCATGTACAATAAATTTTCACAAAACACAGGCGATAAGCAATTGGAAAGATGAAGTAGAAAGTTCAAGCTTTGCATGAAAATGCTTCACGTAATTGAAGGCCAGGCTTGCAGCAGAATGGGCCTGCAGTGGGAGATTTTCACCGTCCTTGTGAAATGTCCTCTGGCATCATTTGCACGGGCACCAACTGAACATGCACGCCCGGTCTTAGTTCATGCGCTTCCATGTCTTGGTGCATTTTCTGGTCTTGTGTTTTACCTATCTTTGGGCACTAAAAATGATTGATGGTGCAAATGAATGCAATTTTCTATCAGTTCAATCGCATGAAAGTATCTGATATACTAAGTAGTTGATAACGGGAAAACCTACAGGCGCTACTGTTTGGTTGTATCTTTTGCTGTATATAATCAAGTTCTTAGAGCTCTGTCAGGAAATGCCTGGTTTTGGTCATGCAGGTTTTTTTCTTTAATAGTTGTAGACAATGAAAAATGTGATCAGATTACAGACTGCTATAGCTGTACAGCAAATACAAACAACTGTCAATGGTGCACTGACCAGTGTATCTCAATGCATAACAACTGCACAGAGGAACAGGTAAAGTCTCTCTAATACTTCTGTAGTTTAAATTTAGCCTTTGAAATATCGAATGTCCAGATGCCTTCATCTGTCAGTGTTATGACCCCTGTTTGTTTCTTTATTTCCGCTGCTTGTGTAGCTCTGAGCTGCTAACATGCTTGAATTTTTTCAAGTTGGTCCAAGGGCTTTTCATGGGACTCTCCACTTAAGTTAGGAGGTTGGCTAGGGGCAGGGGAAGAGGTGGCGTGGTTATTCAGTAGGCCACGTACCCATTTGGGTTTGCTATCAATAGAGCCTTCCCTAGAAAAAAAAACTAACCCTTTTTGTAAAAGCTCTAGTAAGGAAAATGTGTCAGATGGTGGCCTGGGGGAATATCTTGAATACGCAGTACAGGCTATGCCCAGCGTCACAGCTTTTGAATATATAGGTTGCTTTGTAGGTCTGAGCTGTGAAGTTCGGTGTGGTTGTCATGGCTGTTACAAACCAACACTGGTTGGATGGGAAAAAACCTCATCTGTGCTATTTATTTTAGGTTCCTATTACTCTATATGACAGTTGTCCTAAGGATAACCCTGCCTATTACTGTAGCAAAAAGACAAGTTGTAAAAGCTGTTCCATGGATCAAAACTGTCAGTGGGAACCGAGGAATCAGGAGTGTATCGCTTTACCAGGTAGGTATTGGTTGGATTTGTGTAAGAAAAAAGACCCAAATTCACCCAGTCCAAAATTGTGTGGGGTTTTGTTTGTTTGTTTGTTTTGGGGTTTTTTTTACCCTCAAATCTGTAATCATGTAGTGCTAAGCTGGAGTAAAGAAAGTTGTTTAATCATACCAGCTTTGGTATGAAACTTCTAGTAAATTCAGAAAGTCTGGTGGAGTATTTTTCAGTCCCAGTTGTCTGAAGAGGAATATGATCATTTGTATAATTATTAGGCTGTATTTCATCTCTCTCTTTTCATTTGATAAAAGCAGTACTGTTGATATAATAGGCTTCTGCAAGGTATTAGATTTAATAATGCATGCTATTTAATTTTAGAAACTAGAATTGTGCAAAAGCGTAATGGCACATACTGGACGAATTAGGCAAATAACACCTAAAGTGTAGAAGGAAAATTCTCTTATTAGAGTGTTTCCAGTGGGAGCTCATAGGAGTTGATTATTAGTCCCACTGTAGTAACGTGGGTTTCTTTTCCCAGTGACTGGGAGACAAATATAGCATCTTCAGTGACTGACATTTGCAGTTAATGTATAGAGAAAGGGAATGAAACAGCACAGACAGGACCTTTTAATGGGCATGGAAAGCCTTCCCCTAGTAACTCTGATAGGTCTGGACGTGTCCAGGTCTGGTGTTTGCGAGTGTGGAGGAGTGGAAAAATGAAAAGACTTCGGAGAAGAGCCAGGAGAGTGAGAAAAAACATCTTTTGATGAGATAGATAAAGAGCTTGGTCTGTTTAATTTGTAGTAGAAAAGGGGGTGACTTGATCATATGTGTAAAAAGCCCATCTGAAAAACTGACACTTGAGAGCTTTTCAATCTGTTAGATAAATCTAAACCAAGACTTTGGAGCTAGACGTTAGCTCTACAATTCACACTGAAAATGTCCATCAGTGGGTTTTTTTTTTTTTTTGTAAGGGTGGTTATGAGTGAGAGAAATAATTAACCACAAAGTACAAGGAATTCTTGAGTAGTAGGCATGGCTGTGCTCAAAACGAAATGGGGATTAATCCTGGAAATTCGGTGCTGTGGGCAGGATTAGCACACCAACCCTCTTCTGTTGAAAGGTATCCTAACAACTGTGGTTGAGTAAGTGGCTTTAAGCCATCAGCAAGATACTCATTTGCTTTCCTTTACTCTATCTTCTGCAATGATTTTACTATTCGACGTTGTAATGAGTTCTTTGACTACCTACTGCAGATAAGTAAATGGCAACATCGCACTTCAGCTCCCCCAAACAGCTTTCCTTTTCCTCCGGGATTATTGTACATAGATACTTCTGAGCATGCTAAGTCATGCTGGTTTGGGATGGGGCTGTAGGTTTTATTTTGGTGGAAGGGCTCTTTCGCTACTTTGAACATTCTGAAGGTCACTTGCATCTCTGGTTTTACCTTTTTCTCCCCCCGCTGCCCAGAAAATATTTGTGGAACAAACTGGCATTTGGTTGGCAACTCCTGCTTGAAAATTACAAACGCGAAGGAGAACTATGATCATGCCAAACTGTCCTGCAGAACCAATGGTGCTTTGCTGGCTTCTCTCACCACCCAGAAAAAAGTCGAATTTGTTCTAAAGGAGCTGCAGAAGATGCAGTCTTCGGTGAGTGCTTCCCTTTTATGTCCCCTGAGTAATTAAGCTCTGACTGTGGAAAAGTCCTTGCTGTGGTATTGTATGCTCTGTGCAGAATAGACATGCCTCTTAACTGAAAAGGACTGATTTTTCTTTTGAAATTCAACATACCCTATGGGTGCTTTTGAACTGAATTTGTAGAGAATGTAAATGGGAAAGATAAATATAAACATACACGGTGCCTCAAAGGTATCGCTTTCTATAATGAAATCGCACACGCATTTCTCTTGTGGGATACATGACTGCAGCAGGAGTCCTCTCCTGACTTGTACACGATATTTTATACATAAAGGTCCCTTTGGGGTGCCGGAGGTGTTTAATGTAAAGCATTTAAAGTTAGTTATTCCGCTCAGAAAAGCGGCTGTTTAAAATGTCGGCTTCTTACTCCGTAGAGCTGCTTGGCTTATTTGGAGTTATTTATGTTCAATTTAGTGGCAGGTGCTTTTCTGTCAGAGACGGTGAGAAGTGAATTGGAATCTGTCCCCGTTCATGCATCAATAAAATAATTTTTTTTTTTTTTTTCCCCCCCAGTCCCTGGCAGAAGCGTGGAGGTATTCAGGGCAGGTTGTGTAGGTGGTGCTAAAGCCCTAACAAAGACCGATGCTGTGCAGCTTTGCTGAAATCCTGGTTCAGGCTGCAGAGCTGCTGTGGCTTGATGGCACGTGAGAGTAACTCCTCTTGGGTCCCAGAGGCCACTGTGGGCAGGGCCGGCAATCGGGAGGAGTTTTATGTAGGAAAAATGAGTCTGGAGGCAGTAGGATTGCTGCTTTTCAGAGGAGAACGTACTTCAGTACTAAAGAGAAATATTCCCCTGTTGAAACAAGAACATTCCCTGCTTTAATTGCCTTTATAATTTTAAAGTGGCATTTCAGCAATTACGGGGTTTTAGAGGGGATTCACTTTAGCCAAGAAAAGGTACGGTGCAATTCAGATGAGATTGTTTGTTAAATCTTCTGTAAAGAGAGGAAGCCAAGCCTGGGATATTGTAAAAGTATGTAGTTCGAACAGCTCCAGGTGTTTCTGGATATCCCAGTGGTTAAGTGTAGTGTAAATTCCTAAAGACATATGGCAACCCTTCCCTAATAGTGTTTGAACCCTTACACTGGGGAGAAAAAAATTGTTAATATATGGGTTTTTTTTTTTTTTTTCATGTACAGTATCAAAAACTGAGGCTTAGAAATCTAAAGAGACTGTTAGCCCTTTTTAGTTGACACTAGTATCGGGTGCTTGTAATGTGGGAAAACATCTTTGCTGAAAAGCCAGCCTGTATCTGATACTTGAATTTTTTGCCATTCAGCGGCACGCTGCTGCTGTGCTGCAGGAGGCTGTGCTTTGCCGTTACTCCTTTTTGAAGTAACCTGTGTATAGATGTTTTGTAACAATAAGAAAACGCGTTGGTGTTGGCGCATACTGCTGTGTAACCCTGTTGCTGTTAGAAGTTGCAGCTCTAAGGTTGAAGAGTGCGTAAAATCGGTTTGAAGTAGGTGATGGTTATGTATAGCAGTAAGGGAGGACGCTTTCCTAGGACAGCTGTGCCACCAAAGCGCTTTGATGGAGAAAAGAGTTTAACAGTAAAATAACATATTGTACCAATACAGGTAAAGTGCCTCTCCCCAAAATAAGTGTGTGCCACAAAAATAAATTGCTAGTAGAAATAGTTGTGTTAGGGGTTCTTCACATTCAGAATTTTATCGCCAGCAACAGTAATTTAGATTTGACCTGCTCTGTCTCTCCACCCCACCATATATACGTGCTCTTAAACAGCAAAGGTCTTCTAGCCAGACTGTGGAGTAGGTAGATTGTATCATTTAAATTGTATAGGGGACTGCTCGTTTTCTTCCTCATGTCAAATTGTAGCTCCAGAAATCTTTTTTCCTGCGTCTAGCCATTTCTAGGAGTCACAAACATACAAAGAACAACTCACCGTTAATGTCATAGTCAGCCAGTGTGAATGTTTGACTTGTTCTCCTGATTTAGATAACTAAAAATGCAATTCGGGAAAAAAAAAAAAAAAAGGTGTTTTCTGATGAATCTCTCTATCTCTGTGGCATTTAATTCTGATAGCACTGAGAAACAAATATTTCCTGTATTATATTTTTGCAACACCTAACCTGGCAAAGTTGTTATGAGCATTATATGGTGACTTGGCAGTGCTGGATTTATGGTTGGACTTGATGATCTTAAAGGTCTTTTCCAACCTAAACAATTCTATGATTTGATGATTCTATGTGTATTTTCTTTTAATACCTAAGGTAATAAAACTGGGTATTAAGTCTACCATTCTCCTTTATTTCTAGCCCAAAACTTTGACTCCGTGGGTTGGGCTGAGGAAAATCAACGTGTCCTATTGGTGCTGGGAAGACATGTCTCCCTTCACCAACACCCTGCTCCAGTGGCTCCCCGATGAACCAAGCGATGCTGGATTTTGTGGTTATTTGGCCGAGCCTTTCCAGCAGGGACTGAAGGCAGCAACGTGTATCAATGAAGTCAACGGCAGCGTCTGCGAAAGGCCAGGTGACAATCTCTAACTTGGGTGTCTCATGGGGAGTAGGTTGACTGATAAGTATTTATATTGCCTAGCGAGTAAAGAGGATGCCATTCGTTACATTTAAAACCGGCTGCATCATGACTTTGCCAAAGCAAAACGGGTCTGAAAAAGTGTCATCTGTAGGTATTTCATACGGGAATTGGAGATTTTAAAAATAGCTCTACATTTACACTGCTAACTGTAAAATGCTTGAAGTATGTTATACTTCAATTATTTTTCTCTGAATTGCGTACCCGAATGTGACATTTAGGTTAATTATGGTATGGAGCAATTTAAAAAAAATATAAAAAATAAAAGCTACTTTCTAGTTGAAGTGCCCTTTCTCTTCCCTCCCCTACTCTGTAGCCAGAGGAGGATTTTTTCAAAGTTCGAAATTAATTGGGTAAGACACTTTGCAGATTTGAGAACTTTGAAAAAGAAGCTGTTTGCTTTTGGGAAAACTCTTCTAGCTTCTTGGAACCGCATCTTTTAAAATGGCTTGGTCTGTTAACTCTCCATTGTAGCTGATTATTTCTGAACACTGATTAGTGCCTCTTCAAGTTTGAATAAAGTTGGTTGATTACATGAAATTTCGAAGTAAGCTACACCACTTTAAATCATTCTTTGTGGAAGTGCAGGATACAGATCATGAATGTGGAACCTGAACTCAAAATTTTGTATATTTTAACTTGCAGCACTTTGAATTGGTTTAAGCTTTAACTTGTTTTTTATGGTCTGAGAACAGTCACTTGAAACAGATGATAAAGTGCTGGCTCACACCAGAAACTCCTGAGTTAGTTCTGCTTTCAGTACTCATTTTATGTGTGGAACTGATCATATAACTTAAAACATGTCCCAGTGTGCTCACATAAAATGTGGGGTTTCTTCCCAACACTTCGCTTGGGAGAATGTCTAAGGATCACACCAGCAGACCTGCAGGGAGATAAAGACCACGTTTGTAACACTATTTCAATTGTTTTTAAGGCGGATACTTTAAAAAGCATTAACACTCCTGAAGGATACATAATAAGAGAAATTATTTTACAGTACTTACTGCTTTTCTCATATTCACCGTGGTATTAGGTACCTCTGGCTCCATCCAGCAGCACCACACCACAGCCGAAATGTTTCGGGTCTGTGATACTGAACTATTTTTCAGCCTGAACGATAGGCAGGGCTTTTTATCTTCTGTCTTCCTACCTCGGAGCTCGTTACCTGTTTCTTTCTGGAAGAAAGCTGAGTGTTGTCCTCCTGCCCGCAGCGAACCACAGCGCCAAGCAGTGCCGCACGCCCTGCGCCCTGCGGACGATGTGCGGGGAGTGCACGAGCGGCAGCTCCGAGTGCATGTGGTGCAGCAACATGAAGCAGTGCGTGGACTCGAACGCTTACGTGGCCTCTTTCCCCTACGGGCAGTGCATGGAGTGGTACACCATGAGCAGTTGCCCGCGTGAGTAATTGCTTCTGCATCTTGACCGGTGGGCTGGAGTCTTGCGTTTGCTGACATTTGCTAGCAAAAGTCATCAAACTCTGCACATTGGTCGTACTGGCCAGGGGATTTTCAAAAATAAGAAGCACCAGACCTATACTCTGCATCATGTAAAGCATTAAACGGAATTAAGTCCTGGTTATGGGAACCATCAGTTAAGCTAAATGGCAGATAGTCAGGGCTTTCAAGTGAGATGGTGAAATCTCCACTTCTTTTTCAGATAGAGAAGTACGTGTTTCATTATTCGAATTCTGTTGTGGTTTCGGCTGGGATAGAGTTAATTTTCTTCCTAGTAGCTGGCACAGTGCTGTGGTTTGGATTTAGTAGGAGAAAATGTTGATAACACACTGATGGTTCAGTTGTTGCTCAGTGCTGCTTATGCCAGTCAAGGACTTTTCAGCTTCCCATGCTCTGCCAGGGGCACAAGAAGCTGGAAGGGGGCACAGCCAGAATAGCTGATCCAAACTGGCCCAAGGACTATTCCATACCATACGGCGTCATGGGCAGTAT